CTTGTTATGTACACTTGTTTTGAAATAAAATGTGTTCGAACGCAATTCGTTGTTTGATTTCATCTCTTGTTAAAGAGTGAGTCGTTCTCATCGACTGTTTCATTATCTGTTTGTTTTGCATCTCGGTTCCTTATGTTTTTTTCCGAAGTAGGTCTGTTTCTTCTGGAGAAGAAATGTGGAATTTGATGTTCAGTGACGAAGCCATCAAAAATTACAAATTTTATTTATTATTCCGTGTTTTCGTCTCCTTGGATGATGTTCATGTTGATTTTGTGAAAACGATAGTCTGTGTTTGTATGGAGTGCGTATGTGGTTATTGATTGTACGTTGATCTACTGCAGATTGATAGAGATGTCGTCTCGCGGTCGTGACAAGACCGGTGGTAACACCGAACCAATGCCATTCGTTCGTAAATTTGGAGCCGCCGCAGCGGCGGCCGCAGCATCGGGTGAATCAACCGCATCGTCGGGGGCAACTGATAATAAGTCGTCAGCCATTGAAAGTGGTCAGTTTTGAGTAAATCATTTGCAGATCCATGACGATTGCGAATATGGAAGTCCACGGGGACATATTTTTGTTTATTTCAATACTACCTGGGAGAACTTAAGAGCGAAGTTATTTTCATTGTAGAACATTTTTCGATCTGTTAAGGATTATTTTCTTCCGACAACATGCGGTGATTCTGGTTATTGGTTAGGCTGTTCTGGGTGATATTAGACAAATGTTAAATCGGCCTCATGTTATTATCATCATCATTACCATATATCACTACATCGTGAGGTTTTCATCCCTGAAAAAGTTATCTATCATCCGACGGCAAACGCCTGAATAATGTGGATCGAATTCAGAGAATGGAGTGACACCCACCAAAACCGCATCGTCCACTACAGCCGTGTCGTCGACACGTTCCCGATCACGCTCGCACTCTCGATCCCATCGCAGCAGCAAACGTCACAGCGGTCGCAGATCACGTTCACGTGAGAATGGCTCCAGTAAACGCCACTCACGCGATCGACGTTCCAAAAAGAGTCGCTCTCGGGATCGTTCCGGCTCACGAAGTCATCGGAGACGTTCGAAGAGTCGCGATCGAAGAAGTCGCAGTCGTAGCAGAAGGAGTCGAAGCCGCAGTCGGGATCGTCGCAAACGTAGAGGTTAACGTTTCGACGGTATTTGTGAATGAGCGGGTGATTGGGTAGTGTTGAGTTGAGGATTATTCCGCTTCACTTTGCATGTAGTGGTATCAAATTTGGAATTATGGTTGCAGTTTATTTGGAGATCATTCCATTAGCCCTACTATTAGATTGTAATTCCTCGCTGCTATTGCAAAGAGATGAGACGAAATGTTGAGTAGTAAGGAGTGACCCTTTCTCTTATGTTGAAAATCGAAGCTTGTTTATTACTGATGGTGACCAGAGAACAGTGGTGAAATTGATAAGCATCTATATTAGACAGGCTTAATGTTTGGGGGGGTAAACTATTAATGTTTTTGCCGATATTGAGTAGATGAACTAAATTTTGAAAAAGCTTACTATTAGATATAATTATAGTTTAGTTTAGTATTTTTTTCTCATTTGCAGATCGTTCGTCTACGCCAAAGCATGAACCTACTGCAGCAGAAATAGCACAAGAAGCGCAAGGCAATGATATTGTACGTTTACATTTCTGTTGATATTCTATGAATGTTGAATCGTAGTCATTATGTGATCAGTTGGGATGATTACGGTTATTGTTAACTGTGAATAGTTTGTTTGCAGGTGGCTACTGCTCTGGCAAAACTGAAACAAGCACAGCAAGGTATATTACCGATACTGGCCAGGCCCGACATTGGTGAGTATTCGTTTGCAGTTT